CGAAAAAAGTCCGCTCGATTACGCTGCAACAACGCCAAATCGGCCGTTGAATCATCAACGCGCTGCTGTTTTTGGTCGACGGTCAGCAAACGGGGCACTCATCGCGCCGATAGCTTTTTCATTTCCAAAAGATCGTGCAAAATGTATCCCGCCCGTTCTTTTGAGATGCCAACGGCCTCAGCTAACTCGCGCAACTTTACTTTAAGATCACTAAAAACGATTCGATGCACTTGCTTTACGATTTCCGCATTCGTAGCCTCTTTTGGCCTTCCAGAGCGAGGTGCTTCTTCGGTGCTTATACGACCCATTTTAAATTCACTGTACCACCGATAAACTGTTGTTCTCGAAGGAGCAGATGTGGGATAACATTTCTGCAACCATTGCAATGATTGTTCAGAAGTTGTTCCCATCAAAAAACAATGTTTGATCAAGATGCGATATTCCTGTTCTTCCATTTTTTTTTACGAAGGCGAAAGAAGCGTCACTCAAACGATTGTAGCTAGTAAACGAATGGGCGAAATGTCATGAAACTTCATACATAAACTAGTGACAGATGAGCCTCTCGAAATGAGTCATGTTCATTTTCTAGTGGCTCCACCTATTGAAAAATCCCAGGACTTTTCAGCTCATGTAGTAGATGGCCATAGCATTCAATGTAGTTGCCGTCAGACCGCGTCATTGACGTCATTTCCTTGTTCTGACATCTGACAAAGATTTCCAACTCACAACAATACAAGTTTCATACAACAGTATAGTTTGTAATAGCGTTGAACATGTCGAATTTTGTGCCTGGAAACTACGATTTGCGGATAGCAATGATTTTCTACCATTTGAAGAAAACTGCTGCAGAATCGCATCGAATGCTTGTCGAAGCTTACGGTGAGCATGCTCTTGGTAAATCACAGTGCTTTGAGTGGTTTAAAAAATTCAAAATGGCGATTTTGACGTGAGAAACGAAGAACGTGGAAAACCACCGAAAAAGTTTGAAGACAGCGAATTGCAAGCATCGTTGGATGAGGATGACGCTCAAACTCAACAACTCGCGGATCAATTGAATGTGACACGAGAAGCCGTCTCCATACGTTTGAAATCCATGGGAAAGATCCAGAAGATG